CAGTGCACTTACTGAAATATTCAAAGCATCAAGATGCCTGCGCTTGTTATACATACGTACTGATGAATTGGAAATGATACCTGAGGAGATTAGATATTTGAAACATCTTCGATATCTGATGATAGAAAGAGTTACATCATGTCATGCCACTAGGCTACCAAGATCTCTAAGTAATCTCTATCACTTGCTATACATAATCTATGATGGCTCATGGAGGCTAATTTATCCTCAAGATGGTGATTTTTTACCATGTGACATTAGTAACCTTTCTAACTTGCGTTATCTGGAATTGCCCAAGACTTGTATTTCATCGATTTGTGGGATTGAGAAGCTAAAGTCTCTTCAAGAATTGAATATGTTTGCTATTAGAGATGTGAGTGGTTATAGAATTGGGGAGCTAGAGAATATGAATGATCTTTGCAAATTAGGAATAAATTGCCTTGAAAATGTTAAGGATGCCGAGGAGGCTCGTAGTGCCAAATTATGTGAAAAGAGGAGGCTCACAAATTTGTACTTAAGTTGGAGTAGGGGGGCGGGTCTTACTGATTCGAGGAACAACGATTTAGCTGAGAACGTGCTCGACAACCTTCAGCCACCAAAATGTCTAAGAAATTTGCACATAGCGTGGTACCCGGGTGCAAGGTATGCAAAATGGATGAACAATGTCAATTCGATCCTCAATCTAGAGAAAATCGAATTGGAATGCGGAAAGTGGGAAACTCTTCCTCCTTTTGGGCAACTTCGCTTCCTCAAGTCACTGAAACTTTTTGGCATGCCGAAAGTAAAATGGCTCGAAAGTAAATTTAATGGGAATGATAAATACCGTGCTTTTCCATTGCTAAAGGAGTTATGGATTGGAAGATTAGAAGCATTAGAGGATTGGTTTGAGGCAGGAGTAGCTGCTGAAGACGGATGTTTGTTTCCTTGCTTAACTGTACTGTGGCTGTATAACTGCCCGAAGTTGAAAGAGTTGCCCACTTTACCTTCTGAGGTCGAGAGCTTGACGATAGATAACAATATGGAGTGGACGACTTTGAATTTTCGTAGCAATTCAAATCCTATTCCCCTTCAAACATTAAATATCATTGACTGTCCAAACATTACATCTATTTCCCTTGAAAGATTTGCAGCACTAAGAAAGTTGGAAATTAGAAAGTGCCCCAATCTGATCTCTCTCGGAGAAATGCAAACCAGTAATAATTGCCATATCATGCTCAGCGATCTTGAAATAAGTGATCCATCGGTGTTGCTAATGGAGCCATTGAGAAGTATCGCCTCCTTAAAAAGGCTTTGTGTATGGCAGAATGATGGGCTGGTTTCATTTCCAAATGAGGCGGAGCAGTGGTTTCTCAATGTTAGGTCTTCTCTTTCTAAGCTGCGCTTCCAATATCTCAAATCCTTAGAGTCTCTCCCTTTCTCCTTGGAAAGCTTATCTTCACTTCAGAGCCTATATATTAAAGATGTTTCTATGCTTCGGGAATTACCGAACCTTCCTCCCTCTTTGGAACGTCTAGGAATACATGGGAAATGTCATTCAGAGTTGAAGGAGCGCTATCGAGAGGATGGAGGCTCCGATAGGCACAAGATTGCTCACATTCCTCATATCTCTATTGATCCCGAAAAATAGGTACAAGTACTTTAATGAAAATTTCCTTGAAGAATGTAATCTCCGCATGAACCAGTTTGTATCACTTGATGGATGTACTCAATTTTTTTTGGGAAATTTTGGGGCGTAAGCCCTTCATCTATTCAGAAAAAGTAAAGGTTACAAGTAATGACTGTAAAGAAAAAGAAGAAAAACCTACATAAGAAAAACAAAAAAACTTATGCAGGCCACAAAAAAATCACAACTATACCACCCAATACCTACAAAAAAAGATTTTTAAAGCACCAAAACGTGGTACATGAGGCAAGATCTTTGATCTTTGAGGACTCAGGCTGCTGACCAAGTGACAACCCGATGAATGAAAAGCCTCCAAAAAATCCCCTGGTTGCCGAAGAACGACCCTCCAAGGGGAACAAGGTCCAACAGTAGTCATCATTGTCCCCAATAATACTCTCAGGGCCCGAAGCAGCTTTCCTGGCTCCCAAAAAGGAAACCAAGGATATAATTCGAAGAATCCCTCAGTCCGAAAAAAGCCTTCAGCCAAGGCCAGATAACAGCAGTGATCAGCAAATACAACAACCTCAGCTGAACAATCAAATCTCCCAGAACAGTCCCGATAAAACCAACAACAGCCAGTCATCAAAGCAGCTCCATTAAGGCATAACTATTTTTCCATCTCAGTAATTTTGTTAGCACAACACCTTTAATTTTGAGACATAAAGAAGAAGAAGAGGAAGATACATTGCCAAATTTCCTATCATTCCTTTCTCGCCAAAGATGATAAATAGCACAACAAATAATAAGGTAGTAAAAGTGCTTTAATTCTCTAGAATGATGATTAAGGCATTCAAAAGCTTGTAAGATATTAGGCCTTAAAAATTGCTGCCTCATACATGGAATAAGATTAGAGATAACTAAAAAAGAGTAATCACACTCAAAGAAGAGGTGCGATATAGTCTCTAATTGATTATGGAAAAGAGAGCAGGCATTAGGCACAAAAATCCCTCTAGAGCATAGCACATCCGCAGTTTTGAGACCGCCCTTTAAAGCCATCCAACTAAAGGAAGAAAATCTGAGACAATGATGTTTATGCCATATGAAATGATCCCAATTACACCGAGGCTCACTCTTATAAAGAAAATTATAATACTTGCTGTGAGAATTATCTTTTCCCTCTTCCCAAATAAGACAATCAGCATAAATTTCATCATTCCCCCCAACAGCAGGTAGCAAAGAATCAGATAACGTGGGAGGCAGATTCCATCCATAATCATTCTTAATAACAGACAACCGAGCATTACTAGGAAAAAGATTAAACAACTCACTCCATCCAGCAATGTCCTGAATCAGTGCACGGTTGCACCAGTGATCCCAGAATAACGCAATGGGACCATTACTAGAGGGATTAAAAATGAATTTCTCTTTAGCTTTAAGTGCAGTAATGCAAACATTCTTCCAGAATTTAGAATCCTTGACCGAGTGAGGCTTCCAAGGCGAGACATACTTATAAAAAAGCCAAGAAGCAAGAGGACTGCTGTAATTGTATAACCTTTTAATAAGAGAACAATTAAAGCTAAATTGCAAAGAGTGAATAGACTGTAAGCCAATCCCCCCAATAGCTTTTGGCTTACAGGTCTCCTTCCAAGATATAAGGTGCAATTTGGTAGCCTTAATGTCCCCAAAGAAAAGAAATTTGGCACATAATTTCTCGATTTGCTTGGCAATGGTCTTTGGTATAATCGAACCTCGTATCCAATAGGCAATGGAATTCCAAATAGTGAATCTAAGATATTGCAGGCAACCAGCAAAAGAGAGAGTCTTGGCTTTCCAACCAGATAACTTTTGAGTGACAGACTCCATTAATTTAGAGAAATCAGCAATTTTTGGATTGTAAAGTGAAATTGGAATCCCAAGATAGGCAATAGAAGTGGAGGTAGAGGGGATCTGAAGAGAAGATCTGATCTCTTCAGGATTCTGACAGTGTTTGGAAAGCAAGAGAGTACTCTTCTGGTAATTAACCTCAAGCCCGGAAGCCATGGAAAAACAATCAATCAGACGGCATAAAACCTGACAATTAGAAGCATCTGCTTTGCCAAATATTAGGAGATCATCCGCATACATCAAATGAGAAAGCCTAAACCCGTCCACCATAGGAGCAATAAAAGCGTTGTCTTTGTCCAGAAGGCAAGAAAAATCATCCATCACAATGCAAAAAAGATAGGGACTTAACGGGCAACCCTGCCTCAAACCAGCGGAAGAAGGAAAAAAATCATGCAAGGCCCCATCAAAACACACCGAAAACCAAACATCATTGATACAAGCATTAATCCAGTTGATAAAGGAAGGAGGAAACCCCTTTTGATGCATTCTAGCAAGAAGAAACTCCCTCGAAACACAGTCAAATGCCTTTTTGATATTCAATTTAGCACATAGCATCTTAAATTGAGAGGAGTTTCTAGAATGAAAAAGTATCTCATTAGCAAGAATAACATTATCAGTGGAAACCCGATTTTGAATAAAACCAGATTGGTTTTCTTTAATGATCAGAGGCATAATCGGTTTCATTCTAAGAGCCAGAATTTTTGCAATTATTTTGTAAACCGTATTGCACAGAGAAATAGGCCTGAAGTCAGAAAAATCTTCCGCATGATTTGATTTAGGAATCAAAGTGATGGCAGTTGCCTTAGCAGATTTAGGAATATAGGCATTATGATAAAAAGACTTCACAGCTTTGCAAAGTAAAGGCCCAGTAACAATCCAAGTGGATTTGAAGAATTCAGAGTTAAAGTCATCCGGTTCAGGAGAGGAATTGGAAGCACCAGCAAAAACAGCCTTCTTAATTTCTGCATCAGTAAATGGAGTAGTGAGTGATAAAATATATTCAGGAGGAATGATTTTACCCACCGGGAAGTGAAGAATGTCAAAGGTATGCCTCCTAGGAGGGTTGTAAATCCTTTGAAAGTGAGAAATATTATTCTTGATAACATCATCATAAGAGAGATCAGAGTGAGACATAGCAAGCGAAATGGCAGCACTCCTATAATTTCTCCTAAGATGAATCTTAGAATATAGGAATTTGAGATCATCTTCCCCTTTTGAAAGCCATTTAGATTTTGCCCGTTGAGCAACCCAAGAATACCAGGTAGAAGAAGCCTCAGCTAACTGCACATTAATAGTTTTAAGAGATTTGGAAATGCTCTCAAGATCACCTCCCTGATTTAATGAGTTAAGACAATCCCTTTGATTCCTGTACAGGGAATCAATGTGAGAAGCTAGGGGCTTTGAGGAAGCCCAGGATTCCTTCTTAATCTCGATTTTAAGTTGCTTAAGCATAGCACATAAAGCATCAAATGGTTGTCCCCTAGGCTTCATAGAAACATTAGCCAGTAGCAAAAACCAAAAGTGTTGGGATTCTAACCAAAAATTCTTAAAAAGAAACCGATGCTAAAAATCAACTACAAAACCCGGGAGGAGCACAATAGGACTGTGATCGGAACCAACAGGAGATTTAATAACATAGTGAGACTTAGGATAAGCAGCCAACCAGTCCCCATTAACAAGCATACGGTCTAGCTTGATGTGAATAGGATTCATCGATCTTTGGTTGAACCAAGTATAAGAATACCCCACAGAAGCTAAATCAAACAAATTGGTATCAAAAATTAGGGAGTTAAAATCAAACAATTGATTTTGGTGAAGCACATTCCCCCCCAATTTATCAGATGGATACCGGCAGCAGTTGAAATCACCCATAATAATCCACGGTGTCCCCGGGCTTGGGCAAATATTTCTAATCTCCTCCCAAAGAACCTTCCTTTCCTCCAAATTATTAGAGGCATAAACCACAGCAAGCAGAAAAGGAGCATTATTCCCATAAATAACCATACCAGCAACCAATTGACTGGAAATAAACAGAGGATTAAAGATAATCCTACCAGAATCCCACTTCACCCATATCCGCCCCGGATTAGCACAATGGAAATTATTGCAACTGTCTTCAAAATCAAACACCCTATGGGAGTTAAAGAAGAAGAGGTCCGATAAAGAAGAAATTTGAATTCTGTTTTCAAGAATACAGAGCATATCCAACCGAAGAGATTGAACAAGATTTTTGCAATGTAATACTTTATCAGAGGAGCAAAATCCTCTAATGTTCCACGCTCCAATGGATGGGCTGGTCATTTGGATTTTGATTTCGGTGTGGGGGGCTTCTTAGCTTCTTTACCCCTGGCGGATTTGGGTAAAGGGTTAGATGTGTTCTTTGAAGAGGATTGAGCATTAGTTTCATCAGCAACCTTGGGAACATCTTGGGTGGAAAGATCTACCTCCTCCCTAATACCTTGTTCTTCACAATTCTGAAGAGTATCAAATTGATTTTTAATGGGAATTGGCGGGTTATTAAATGAACTGGTCGACTCCTGCTCCAAATTACCAATACATTCTTCAGTTGGAGAGTTTAGGTTAGGAATTGCTATGCTGGGAGGATTAAATGGAATAGAAAGAGCCGAAATAGATGTAGGAGCAATGATACCAGAAGAGGAGGCAGTCACAATCCCAGTATCAATATCCGGCAAATTCCGAGACTCAGTAGCCTGGGCAGTAGGAAAAGTAACTTGCGAAGGGACAATTCCAAGAGAGGAAGAGGCAAGAGCAACAGTGGGAACTGTGTTGGTAGTGACTTGTTTTGGGGCTGTTCCAGAGGAACGGGTTTGGGATGAAGGCCTCTGGGAGGAATTATGTCTCCTGTGAGTCCTAGAATTACTTCGGCCTCGAGGAGGTTGGGTTTCTTGTTGTGGAGGTTTGGGGTTGGAAGGGCAATAAGAGGTAGTATGAGCCATCGATTTGCAAGTTGCACATGGGTTAGGTTTCCATTCATACTGAATTTTAAGATGATAAACAACATCTTCAATGGAGATGGGCACCGATTCAGGAACAGAAGTAGTGGCAACTTGAATACACACCCTGACATACGTCAACCTTGTTTTTGCAGCAGTAAGCGCATCCACATAAAGCGGAGTTCC